GAAGAGGGCCGCGCAGTGGTCCACTGGTGTGCCCCCTTCTCCCCGGTCCTCCACTACTGGCTGCTGCTTTGGGACGGCAGCGAGGCTGCGCAGAAGGGGCCCTCGCTGAACGCTACGGTCCGCAGAGCCGAACTGAAGGGGCTGAAGCCAGGGGGCGTTTATGTCGTTTGCGTGGTGGCCGCTAACGAGGCTGGGGCAAGCCGCGTGCCTGAGGCTGGAAGAGAGGGCCTCGAGGGGGCCGACATCCCTGCCTTCGGGCCTTGCAGCCGCTTTGCAGTGCCGCCCAACCCCCGCACTCTGGTCCACGCCGCCGTCGGGGTGGGCACGGCCCTGGCCCTGCTGAGCTGTGCCGCCCTGGTGTGGCACTTCTGCCTACGCGATCGCTGGGGCTGCCCGCGCCGAGCCGTCGCCCGAGCAGCAGGGGCGCTCTGAAAGGGGCCTGGGGGCATCTCGGGCACAGCCAGCCCCACCTGCGGCGCTCAGCCCGGCTCCTGGAAAGAGGGGAACCCGCTGCCTCCAGGGAGGGCTGGACGGTGAGCTGGGAGCCAGCCCCAGGCTCTAGAGCCACAGCAGAGTCATGGTTCTCTGGGCTGAGCGCTTGTTTAGGTCCGGGACTTGGCGCTTTGTTTCCTGGCTGAGGTCTGGGAAAGAATAGAAAGGGGCCCCCAATTTTTTTTTTTTAACGGTCAGATAGTAAATAATGTAACCTTTGCGGTTTAAGAGGATAAAATGGAGAATATTATGTGGGTATTTATATGACCCTTGTAACCATTTATAAAGGAAAAACCACTCGACATAGTAATGCCAACCTAGAGTAGCAGCTACTCCGGAAGCTGAAATGGGAGGATCTCTTGAGCCCAGGAGTTTGAGTCCAGTCCAGCCAGGGCAACACAGCCAGACGCCCTTGTGTTTTGTTTTGTTTTGTTTTTTGAGAAGAAGTCTCCCTCTGTTACACAGGGTGGAGTGCAATGACACGATATATGTCGGTTCACTGCAACCTCCACCTCCTAGGTTCAAGTGATTCTCCCGTCTCAGCATCCTAAGTAGTTGGGGTTACAGGTGCCCACGACCATGCCCGGCTAATTATTGTGTTTTTTTAGTAGAGATGGGTTTTCACCATGTTGGTCAGCCTGGTCTCAAACGCCTGACCTCAGGTACTCCACCCACCTTGGCCTCCCAGTGTTGGGATTACAGGCGTGAGCCACGGTGCCCAGGCAGACCCCCTTCTTTAAAGATGTAAAATCATTCTTAGTCCATGGGCCTTACAAATCAGGTCACTGGCCCATTGCTTGTAGTTAGTTGATCCATATCATGCATCCTCAAAACGGCTCTGTCAATGAGTGTCTTCAGTGGGATTCTGAGAATAAATTTATATTCTTGCTAGGTAGAACAAAACAAAAATGACGGTAATACCAAGGAATTTCTCATCCCTTTTTTCCCTCCATTTGTATTTATTGCATATCCACTGTAAAAACATTAAAGGATCTTTAAAAGGAAGTAATGTTTATTGTTTACGATTCTTTTCAAATCACTGTCCACACACCCACTTTTCAGAATAGTATACATACTTCTGTCGCCCAGGCTGGAGTGCAGTGGCACGATCTCGGCTCACTGCAAGTTCTGCCTCCCGGGTTCAACCCATTCTCCTGCCTCAGTCTCCCAAGTAGCTGGGACTACAGGCGCACACCACCATGCCCAGCTGATTTTTGTATTTTTTTTTTTTTTAGGAGAGTCAGGGTTTCACCATGTTGGCCAGGATGATCTCGATCTCTTGACCTCGTGATCTGCCCGCCTTAGCCTGCCAAAGTGTTGGAATTACAGGCCTGAGCCACCGCGCCTGGCCTTGAATTTTTTTTTAATTAAGTGAATGCAGAAGTCTGTTTTGTGTTACTACACAGTATAATCCTCACCTGTGTGGATATTATTATTATTTTATTCATTTATTTATTTATTTTTTGAGACGGAGTCTCGCTCTGTCACCCAGGCTGGAGTGCAGTGGCTGATCTCAGCTCACTGCAAGCTACGCCTCCCGGGTTTACGTCTTTCTCCTGCCTCAGCCTCCCGAGTAGCTGGAACTACAGGCACCCGCCACCACGCCCGGCTAGTTTTTTGTATTTTTTTAGTAGAGACGGGGTTTCACCGTGTTAGCCAGGATGGTCTTGATTTCCTGACCTCGTGATCCGCCCGCCTTGGCCTCCCAAAGTGCTGGGATTACAGGCTTGAGCCACCACGCCCAGCCTGTGTGGATATTACACCTTTTTAAGTTATATATATATATATATGTGTGTGTGTGTGTATATTTTATAGAGACGGGGGGAGGGGTCTCACTCTTTTGCCCAGGCTGGACTTGAACTCCTGGGCTCAAATGATTCACCCTCCCCCCCCCCGCGTCGCCTCCCAAAGTGCTGGGATTACAGGCCATTATAATTTTTTCTAATTATAAAAGTAACACATGGGCTGGGTGCAGTGGCTCACACCTGTAATCCCAGCACTTTGGGAGGCTGAGGTGGGCGGATCACGAAGTCAGGAGATGGAGACCATCCTGGCTAACATGGTGAAACCCTGTCTCTACTAAAAATACAAAAAATCAGCCGGGCTTGGTGGCGCGCGCCTGTAATCCCAGCTACTCAGGAAGCTGAGGCAGGAGAATCGTTTGAACCTGGGAGGCAGACGCTGCAGTGAGCCGAGATCACGCCACTGCACTCCAGCCTGGGCGGTGTAGCGAGACTCCGTCTCAAAAAAAAAAAAAAAAAAAAAGTAACACATAAGGCATAAGGCATGTATGCCTGTACCTAACACTTTGGGAGGCTAAGACAAGAGGATGGCTTGAGACCAGGGGTTCAAAACTAGCTTGGGCTAAATATCAAAACCTTAACTCTACAAAAAATTTAAAAATCAGGACGGGTGCAGTGGTTCATGCCTGTAATCCCAGCACTTTGGGAGGATGAGGCGGGCGGATCACCTGAGGTCGGGAGCTCAAGATAAGCCTGACCAACATGAAGAAACCCCGTCTCTACTAAAAATACAAAATTAGCTGGGCGTGGTGGTGCATGCCTATAATCCCAGCTACTCGGGAGGCTGAGGCAGGAGAATCGCTTGAACCCGGAAGGCGGAAGTTTCAGTGAGCCTAGATCACACTATTGCACTCCAGCCTGGCCAACAAGTGTGAAACTGTGTCTCAAAAAAAAAAAAAAAAAGAAAAAGGCCAGGCACAGTGGCTCATGCCTGTAACCCAGCACTTTGGGAGGCTGAAGCGGCTGGATCA